ATTAAAATATTGTTTGTTATTTTTGCTTTCTCATTTTTTGATGTATCTGAAAGGAAATCTAATGAAATCTACAAGTCACTTGAAGCTAAGTGATCTCCTCAGGGTCAGGCAAATGAGCACATGGAAGAGACAGAACGATGTCCCAAATGTGTGTGGCCTCCAGCCTTGTACTTTCCACTTAACTCCAAACAAAAACACTCCGACTCCCATATTCTATTTCTAACACTGGTTTGGGAATAAAGACTTATTGGCAAGCCTTTTGGCCTTTTAATTTAGTTACTGTATCTTTTATGTCCATCTTTCTTTTTTTTTGTAATCCTAGTCATTAGTTCATTTTTTGTTTTTAGATAACTCTCTTTTATACCAAAAATGAAATTCCAAAGACATCAGCATCTGTAAGTTATGTTGAAGTTCATGGGGGTTCTGGGAGCTCCTAACAAGGATTGTTAAGTTTCGAGTACAAAAATCCAGTAATAAATTCCTGAAAAGTATAGGGTACTCATTTCTTGATACTTGGGACATTTAAACAAGTATTTAACAATCTGATTCTAGGGCTAATTAAACATACATATAATGGACCACCCTAAGAAATATATTAATAAGTTATTCATGCATGAAACTACATATCTCTGTAGCAACTAATGTTTGAACTGTATTTAAAATGCAAAAGTATTGCTATAAAACAAAACTAGGCAAGGAGAACTCTACCAGAGGAGTATAATATTTAATGACAAATGTGCATATTATTGTAGCACTTAAAAATACTTCTTATAACCATGAGAGCATCAGATTTCAACTGAAACATTATTTCCCCCAACCCTGGAAGAGTGCTTGCTATTAAGACTCTCAGTTCACCATTGCTGACATGAGGTGCTATCAATGTTATCGTTATTGCAATTGGCTTTTGGTCCAAGCTCCTTAACACTACTGCAGATTTCTCCCTGATCATTGCAGGATGATTGTTTCATTATGAAACCTATAATCAAGTGAGCATTTGGAGAGCTTGGGCCACTAATATTGCACCCAGAATTATTCTCCCCTTCTCTGGTCTAATAACCCTTTGTATCAGCTCTATCCATCTCTGGAGGCTGGGTTCTAGAGATCTTTGAACACAGCTGGACTCTTAGGTAGTTTGGTCTTTGGGGACTGATATACCTAAAATAACTTTGAATAGTTAAATCTGACCACGTGTGAAATGGCAGTTGCCTTTTAATTTTAATGGAATATTTTAGAGCATTTTTATGGAAAAGCTCTTAAAGTGCTTTTTTCCCCTCCTTAATGAAAGGGGAAAATGTGTTGCTGTTGCTGTTATTTTTTATAATAAATTCAAAGCAGTTCCTGCAAATCTTAACAAGTAGAATCAAATATTTAATGCTTTTGGCGAAACACTTTTATAAAATTTCCAGAACAAAATAAAACATTCTGCATTTAAACTTCTTTGAATGAAACAGACCGAATTTCTAAGAGGACTTACATCATGTATCAATATTTCCAAGTTAATTTAGTATGTGGAATCATCAAACTGTATTACCACAATCGTTACTGTTTCATCTAAAAAGATTTACACTCGAAATTTTAAACCAGAAGAGAAAACTAGATTCACAAATAGGAATATTACAGATAGAAAGAGGTTTTTTTTGCACTGTATTTCTCTTGCATATTCAAATCAGGATGTCTTCTGACACCTGCTTTTGAAATAAGCTGCATTGTAAAAGATAACGTGGACACTTTAACTCTGGGATTTCACAAAGGCTGACTCTTTGGAACTAGAGGCTGTGATTTGCTAGTAATGTTTAACAAAGGCTCTTCAGAAAGAAACAGAAAAAGCCAACAACCACCTTGGCTTGTTGATTCCCATGGTGTAAATAGGAAACATAGAGTTAAGAAGGAACGCGTACTATCACCTCTTCTTACCAGTGGGCTCTAGCCTGCTCCAGCAGACCACTGAAGAGGGCTTCTTTTGTATTTGCTGAATATGCAATTTATTGCGTCAGTTACAAAGGACTCAGTCTATTGGGAAAAATTGATTTAACTGGGTGAGATGGACTCGTGCTGTTACTTTGGGCATATATCACTTGGGAAAGTTATGACAGAGTTTAGTCACCTTATGAGATGGAGCATTTTGAGCAAATGTCTAGTTGTAAGCTTCAGTAGCTATTGAATAAATGGCTTGACTAAATGAATGGAAATAGAAAAATCTGAAGTGATCACTTCTTATTTATGTTACTCCTAATTACTTTGTTCTGCTTTGAATGAACTTTGAGCTGGATCCCTCAAAACAACCATCATTTGTATGATAGAATGCTGAACTGTTTCTGGGAAAGACGTCTTGCAGGAAAATATTTTATTAAAATAATTGTAGTTAACATTTATCTTGGCGTTGTCTGTTCTAAGAGTTTTTCATGATTATCTTCTTGAAGCCCCGCAACAGCTGTATTATTACTCCCATTTTGCAGATGAGGAAACTGAGGAACAAAGAGCTTCAGTATCTTGTCCAAGTTGCCACACTCGGTAATTAGGATTAACCCAGGCAGGCTGATTCAAGAATTTGTGCTCTGAATGCATTCTTTTGCTTCAAGTATTGCTTTTGTTTGTTTTTGTTTTTATTTTTGTTTTAAGATTACTGTAGTTACCCAGTCCCTTTGAATATTACAAACTTTCTTTGGTGGGGGGTAATTTAATTTACATAAGATTCAGTGGTATGTAGGTAAGAGATACAGTGGAACTGTCATTGATATTCAGAAGGATAGACAGTTTATAAGCCATTTTAAGGTTAAGACATTTCTGGGCCAGATAATCTGGATTACATTAATAAAATGGAGATTAGATAGTAATGTGGCTACACTATACTCTTGCTTCTAGTTCATGGAAATTATATATCAAGAAATGATAAATTTGGACTCTTTGTATCGCTGCCGAGGCCAGAAAGGGTTGAAGGTGATACATTTGTGTACACACACACAAGTATACATTGAACGTGTACATATATACACACATTTGCCAATGTGTTTTACTTTAAAGGAAATTAGGACAACCAAGTTAAGGGAAAATGAAGCTACAAAAAAATAAAATGGCACCAGGAATAAGGGTAGTTTACAACAACCATGTTTCAAGATCTCATATACTTTCTAGAGCTACATCACAATTTTGGCTTTGAAACTTTTTAGGACCAGTGTAGAGGGGAGAAATAATATGCAGTGTCCACATTATGCTAATTAAAAAATAAATACTTTAATTTATACATTGATAATAATGTACTGATGCAAACTTTTCTATCAACATCAAGAATTTATCAGAATCTGAATCTCCTCTTATCTCCCAGAGCAGAAAAATCCTTTAGCATCCTTTCCCTTTAATAATGCACCACACCATCAATTTACATTTGATGATTTTTTTGGAATCCCTTTGGTTGATTTTGGGTATTTTTGCATCCCCTTCTATCATTGTGTTTCTGATTGCTGATGAATAATCTTTTGGCAATTGAATTAACGTTAAAATCAATCATCAGTTGCTATCTGAACTTAACCTCAGGCTTTAACTTTCAATTGCTCACAGTGTTTTCTTATGTTAGCCTCATTGTTAAATTCTGTTTTTAGTTATAGTACATTATTTTGTATTTTTTCAGAAAGATTATTGGTGTTCTACTGTTAGGCTTTTCATATTATCATTTTTCCCTGGTTTTTAAATGATAGGTTAGTTTTGTATGTAAATTCCAGTTATCGCTTATGAAAGTATTGTTCAATTAACTTCTAGCATACTCTGCTGCAGATAAGAGATCCAATGCTGTTTTAATTCTCCTTTCTATTTAGTTATACTCTGTCTCTTTCATAGTTTATGACTTATTGTTGGAGTTCATATATCTTAATTAAATGTATCTAATAAAATGTAGATGCTATTCTTTCACTGCTATCAATGGGTTCTTTCACCATGAAGAGACTTTCTTTATGGAAAATTTTGTTGTTGCTGTTCTTCATTGTTTTTTATTATTTATTTGAGTTTTCCGTTCCATTTTTTAATTTTCTCTTTCTTGAACTCCTACTAAATGGATGGCTGAACTTTTAGAAATATTCTACGCATCTCAACTTTTCTCTCATCTTTTTAATTTCTTTGTCCTTTTCCCTGAATTCTGATGGAATCTTTCAGTTTACCCTTCCAGCTCACTGATTTAATCTTGTCTCATTCATTCTGCAATTCAGCTCATGTTTCATTAATTATGATAATTTCTGAAAACTCTGCTTCTTTTTCATAGCATCCTATTTTGGTTAATTTTTTTTCATTGATACCTTTTATCTTTTGGAATTTATTTGTTTATGCTTTCTCTGATTTTTAGGAGGTGAAACAGGTGAACAATTATGCTTAGCTTGCCTTCTTAAGCCAGGAGTCTTATCTTCTTTATATTGGTGTAAATAATGATTTAGAGAGTATAACAGTCCTTAAACTTGTAGAGCCCCTTGAAAGAACAGCCAGAATTTTTGCAGGCTCCTAGAGTCTGCTGATTTAGCCTGAGAAACACTGTTGTATCTAAAATCTTCATTGGATTTCTTCTACTTCTTATCTTCTGCTTCTCTTTAAAACAAAGGCATTTGCAAATAGGGCACTGATCACCTGACAGTTCTTTGCTTTGACCTAGCACCCCTCTCCAGAATTTTAGTGGTCTGTGTAATTATCATCACATTCTTTGGTAAGATGTCTATTCTGTATCAGACATTGATTCCTGTGCTTTGTTTGGTTGCTGATTGAAAAGTATTGCTCCTTAAAATTATTTAAATTTCAGCTTTGAATTAACATAATGGAAATTCTTCTTAGTTTTAGTACTTTTAAATAATAGAGAAGAATTTTGAGAGAAAGAAGATAGAGAATTGGAAAAAAAAACTGTTCTGCCTCCCCCGGTTTTAAGCATAAAATTCAAAATCTAAAAATCTTGGTTCCATCTCAGGTTATAGTTAAACAAAAGGATATCAAAAGTTGGCTCCCTAAATATTGCCAACACAGTCTGTGAGTGAGATAGAGCTGAATTTATTGCTTAAGTTAACAAGTAATCTCCACAAAGTTCAGCAGTGTCTGGGAGCAGGGAGCGGGGAAGGTAGGGTCAGAATTTATTGAGGGTTGGAAGTTTGGTTTGAATCTACTCAGTTAATATGGGGACTAGGTCAGGACTGGGTAAAAAGTCTACGATTGGTAGAAAGTGCAAGGGAAAGATTTTGAGGCAAGGGATTCTGAAGAAGCTAAGCCTTTGTCTGTTGATGCTTTCTTTCTGTTGAAGAGTTGATGCATCTTTAGGAAAATTCCTGTAGTGAACAATCAAACCATTTGCTTGGGTGGGACAGTCCTGGAAGAGCTAAACAAAAAAACAAGCAAACAAATAATTTTACATGCTAAGAGGATGGTGGAATAGCAAAATCATGAATCTAGGCAGTAAGATGTGATTTCTTTACTCAGTGCCCATGCTGAGTGGAGGGTAGGTGGTTTTTCTTCTCAAGACTCTCCAGAGTTATCTAGCTTGCATAGCCTTCCATTTGCTCCGCAGTCAGATCTCACTGAGATCCTCCAAATTCTCCACTATTACTACTCACCAGAAAATGGTAGAATAAAATCTGGCCTGAAGCAGGAATATTGCTGGTGTAACTGGCACATCCTGAAGTCTTTGGAGCATGGTGTGATTATCTGAAGCTGGAATCGGGAGACCCAAGACTTGAGAGCCAGGTCCTCCACTCCCCAGCGTGGGAAGCGACAGAGCATGTGGGCTACCTGCCTCAAGCCTTGCAACTTCGTGAGCATCAAGGGAGCCTCAGCCCTGGAGAACAAGGGCCTAGAGATGATGGCACTGAGGCAATTTTCTTCCAGTGGGACTGGTGAGGTTGTCAGGACAGGGTTGGAAACAAAGAATCTTTAAAGGTGACTTTCTATTGTCTTTTGGAGCTGGGCTTTTTAGAGGCTTCCAGCTGGGTCCTAAAACAGCTGTCACACTGTTACAGTGCAAGGAGGATGAATAAATCTCTCCTGTGATGAATATGTGCCATCCACTCTTCTCCTGCCAATATATGGCACTCTCCTGTCTCCATAGGAAAGATCCAAATCTCAATTTTATTAACATTTTCACCAAGGCTTCCATTAATATATCGCTACCTATATTTAAGGTGCTTCAAAATGAACATGTTACCTAAAGTCCCAGAGCACATATCACATTGTTCTGTGCCTATGTATTGAACTGGAAGGAAAAATTTTAATTAAAAAAAAAAAAGAAAGAAAGAAAGAGGAGAAAGAGGATGAGTGAAAAGCAAAGTAAACATTTCAAAATCTTATTTTGGTGATGCTCAAAGGATCTCTCTCACTCTCAGAAAGTTCAGAGCAAGACAGGGCCCTTTCTTTTTTGTAGCTTGGAGCAACTTTCCTGTCAACCACCCATCTAACCTCTGTCACAAGAAAGCTATGCACTGGCAAACTAGCCTCAACAATTCAAGGTTGGAGAACCCTAGCCAACGCCCGAGGGTGGGACAGAACCCAGGCGCCAAGCAGGATCCTCGGGCTGCTAATTTGCTGGACACACAGAGCCCTGTTCTGCAACCTCCCCCTAGGTTGTGGGTGAGTGGAACCCATTAACATTTAAAAATATTTGCAGAAATCAGAGGGGGGAAAAGGTATTTCTGGAGGGCCAGTACTCAGTGCACTCTCATGCGTGCCAAAGTTTGCTGGCATGGCTCAGGCTTTGATAGAGAACATCTGGGCGGCGGGTGCTGCAGCATATAGATGGGGCGGAGGGCAGGGAACAAAGGGGGCTTGTGAGAGAGTGCTGGGGGGGGGAAGTGCTCTCTGGGAAGGAGGCCTTACTTAATGCTTATCCCGTGCTCAGCAGGGGGAGAGGACTGAGTACAGGAGTGGATGGTTTTGCCTTCATGTTTCCCCAGTAACGCATGCTGAAGACAGAGGCAGCACAGCACTGGCCAGTGGGGCTGCAAAGACATTTGTCTCCACCGCTAGACAGACATGTGCCTACGTTCAAAGACGCAGCCAACAGCAAGTCACCACCGGTGGCATTCACTCCTTTTCTTGGAGCCACTTAGCTGGGGGGGCCAGGGAACAAGAGATGGATTGGAGATGAGGGAGGGTTGGTAGAACACTTCCAGTCGAGACAGATTTGTCATTGTTTCCCCCATTGCCAGTCCCATCCATATGGAAATAAGATAAAAATGAGTTGCGTATCATGAATGGGTATATTTCAAACACAAAAGTGCTTTTATTAAGTGAAGGTTAAGGTCAGACTGTGGAAAATCTGTCACTTATGAGAAGAATTTTGTATTGAATTCTGATTTATGCAGGCTGCACCTTACCCAGCATGCATATATATGTAAGAAAAATCCGTGTTTAGGCATTTATTAAATCACAGAAGGCTTGACTTGCTGATATATGATAGGAACCACTATAGGTCTTTGTAAGAATGAATAAACTACTACCCCCTTTGGCAATCAGATACTGGCCATAGTATAAGCTGGTCTAGGTGTGCCAACAAATGTGATGTATATACTTCATTTACAGAGTCCTCCCTCCCCGCTCTTCTTTGTTCCCCGGGTCATTGCCACCTTCTGACTCAGCTCTGAAAAACCAGTCTGACATTTTTAATATTACTAAGCACTCTCTTCCCAGTGGATTCATCTCAGAACCCAGATATTAACACTTAGAAGTGCTACGGGTTTTGTGATGGTAGGGGAGTTTCTGGCATCTTCAGACTCCATTCATTTAACACATATTTATCAAGTGTCTCCTGTGTAACGGACTCCTGGCCTGTGATACGCATCAAGGTAGCCCCTTCCTTCCAAATCTGGGAGCCCCAAACTCTACACCTAATATTTCAAATAGTGGATTCTGGCTTGCTTGCAAATAGCTGGGCAACCTTTACTTTATTTCATTCCCTTTATTGTTCCTGTGACTGTTATTCTATATTGGCCCTTCCTATCTCAGACTGTTCACAATATTTCAAAATTAGTATTTCTAAGATTGTCTGCTCCGCTGTTCAAAAAATGCTAGTAAAATAAGGCTACTCCACGGCTTTTAATTTTAGGTGATATGGTATGCATGATCAATATCTGCCTCTCCAAATTATCCATTTATCTGTGTATATCTCTCTTTAGCCTAAAATAGGCCAATTAGTTTCATAAGAGATTTGGCTTTGGCAAAAAAATTATTTTAAACCTACTGCTAGTCCTAAGTTTGTTTAAAATTTGAGTTTACTTCCACTGTTTGCTTTTTTTTAATATATATTTTTGTTTTTATTTGTTTGTTTTTGTTTTGTGGGGAGGTAATTAGGCTTATTTATTTATTTTTTTGATGGAGGTACTGGGGATTGAACACAGGACCTCATGCATGCTAAGCACGTACTCTACCACTGAGCTATACCCTCCCCCGCCAATTGTTAGTTAAGAATTATATTTTGCTGCTTGTGTTTTCACATTTCTAATTGCTTTTTAAAAATATTTTAAGACTTTTTTTTTTACTTTTAATTGTTTCTAGACTTCCACCTTTCCTTCTCCCCCCTTTCCAAAGCAATAAACCAGATCCATCTGAATGGCAGATTTACGGCCAGTTACACCAAGAAAAATGGTTTTTCAAATTAAAATCACTAGAGCTTACTTCAGATCCTATCAGGTACTCTCTCTTTCTAAAGTATAATTATAATAAACTACCAGCTCCCTCATCTCAGAAATAATAGTCATCTGGTGCTACGTGGAAACAGAATCTACAACTCAAACTACAAGACAATGATCTTGATCAATGTTTAGATGAAAGCTTTGTTTCCCATTTCCAGAAAAAAAAAAGTGTATCAACACGAAATTTTGCCTCCATCCTTTCACAACTATGTGTCTGTCAGTAAGAAACTGTACCACAGGTGACCAGCTCCACTTCCTTTTGAAATTAACCTTTTATGCAATTACTGCCTCTTGGACAAAGAACATTTCTTATTTATCTGAGTATCAGTGTTTTGGGTATAGTAGATACTCAAATATTAAGTGAAATTTACATTCTTGAAATTAAAGCACCATAAGGATTGAGGAAATGGAATACTGGTCTTCATTATATCAGTGATCTAGAAGTTGACGTCAAAATCCTGAAAATACTCTCAAAATTTATCCAGCCCATATTGACTGAGAGCTAACCAATACGTAGAATGTTTATTTTCTCATCTCCAAATTGTTGGGTTCCTTTTATATTATGTGGATACTCAAATGCCCGAAATGATTCATTAGGTTCCAAAGAAAATCTAGAAATTATTGTTAAGCTCAAGACTGATTCTCTGAATTTACTATCCTGAAGCAGATAATTGAGTCTGGACTAAAGCCTTGGGAGATTCTGCTCCTATTTTGTTTTCTCCACCAAGCTAACTATAGTGAGACCTATGAAGTTACTTCTCCATTTAAGAGCAGTCCTACTGGTATAGGTCCATGTCACAACTTCTTCCTTAATATGTATCCAATCACCAGTGGCATCTTACATTTGATGTCTGTTTCCTTTCTTCATCAACTGGAAAATTGACTCATGTGAACCTGTCTTGGCTTGCAAGCCAATGAAATGACAAAAATATCCAGTGGTCAGTCTTGCAAACACAATGGCTTATTCAAATTACCTACAGGTAGACAATTTTCAAAGAGGTCTTCTGAGTTTGGTGTCAAGGACGCACTGCCAATGAAGCATCGCAGGAGCTAAATTCACCTTATGCAATTGTTGCCTAGTCCCAAAGCTATCCATTAGGATAAACCATCTGCTTACAGCAAAAGAATTTGGAGTTGTCCACCTGGGAATGAAGGGAAGATTGACTCAGCTGCTACATATGATCCCAAAGCTCTGTTTTCCATGACTGATTTTATCACCTTATTTCAGCCCATCTCTCAATGAGCTCAATTGTCTTGTCCAGCACTTTGCGTAGCAGCCCTGTGCTGTAGCTTCAACTGGTCCCAGTCTTGGCACATGTACATGAGGCTTTATCAATGGCAGTAAACGGTGTCTTTAAGTATCCTCATGCAGGGAGATGCAACATGTTTACTGAACTGCATAGGCATTTCTCCTGCACAACTCTAGAAACAACCTCTGCTGTTATCTGAGATTCTCAGCTCTTTGCTTACCAGCAGTTTGGTCTTGAGCCCACTCTTATTCTCACTGTATTATCAGCCAAGCGCTGAGCAAGACTCAAAGTGTCACAGCTCAACAATCACCCACAGCCTTGACGCAATTCAGTTGTCTCTGGAATGTTTATTTCCTTCATAATGTAAATGCTGCAGAGTTTCCATCAATGTCAACTCAAGAGTCGGCTGATAATTTTGACAAAGTAACACAAATAACATAGCCTTTCCTGAAACATTCAGAAATAGAGCAACACATGAGATATCAAGAGGTTGCCATGTCTATAGTCCTTTAGTTCTATGCGAATCGTCTTGAATGGGTCATTATTGCCCAAAGAGGGGTGATTTTTTTTTCTTTTGTGTAAAATACTGTTTTAACTAAAAAAATCTAATCTTAATAAGAAACCACACTTAAAAATACGAGGTTGAAAACACACTGAGCAGAAATCTCAACGATGCAAAGAAATAAAAATTGAAGGCGAGCAGACTGTCAGTGTAAGCAAAAAGAAAAAATACTTAGCTCCTCTAGAAAATTTGTGTATATCAGCGCAAGTCTCATTTAAATGAAAGGTCCTTTTAAAAAGAGTAACTTACATAAAATGCATATAAAATTGACATTTATGAGAGTAATATTTATTTTTCCATTTTCCTTTTTAAATGAGTGTAGGATTAGCAGTGTATAAAGAAACGAATTCTTATTCAGGGATCTTGTTCATCTGACTATTCCTAAGAGAACTGATAACAGCAAAGGTCTGACACAGCCACTGCAATAAAATCTTTGGTGGAACCGCCTGAGCTAGTATTCCAATGTTTATAATCTGATTTTGGGGGGCTCCACTCACCACAGAAGAGATTAAAGGCTTCAGCTCAGCTCCTTGCTGTAGCATGCCTCATGGGGAGAATATGTTGTCTCTAGCGATGTTCAAATAGTCCTCCAGCTGGTGGGGTTCCAAAGGTGTTTCTCAACCTTTTTATAACCTCTGCCCCTCTTTGATAAAGAAAAATCTCGTGTTTCTCTGCAAATTACGTTACGCCCCGCCTGCAAAAAGGAAAGACCAAGACGGGCGAGGCGAGGGGGAGGGAATGTGTGCTCCGTTTGTTTTCTGTTTTCTGAGTTTCTTCACCAGCCAAGAAGATTATATCAAGCTTTTTCCCCCCTGTAACTTTAAAAAAAAATCTTTTATTGTTTACGTGTTTTTAGATATTAAAAATATAATATTGGACATGTTTTATTCAAACTGTGTATCTCCCATTCTGGACATGGAAATGACGGCTGCTTGCTCTGACAAATGAAAATAACCTTGTTTCTCAACTGTTAAAAATAAACTGAATTTTTGGAGTACAGCATATATATTTTTAGCCTCTTTAGGGATAAAAATATGGATTTGACTTATGTATATCTCAAAATTACAATCTGGTTTTTAAACTATGGAACAAATTGTTGTGGGTCAAGATGGGCAACAACTGACTTCGGAGGACAATGAAAACACTATTGTGTCATTTTCCACTTATGCAGCCAAATTGAAGAATTCTTGGGGGGGTGTCTTGAAACTATTAATGATCACCAGCAAGTAAGACTCTGAAGACCACTGGGCATCCAGCCCGTTTCATCTTCTTTAGTTGGTAAACTTTTCTACTGTCTGATGATACATCTGGATATCCTGTACCCTCTGTAGTTCTTCAGATTATTTCTATTATTAATGACATCTTTTCATTCTAGTCCTGAATTTGTTTTATATGGTTACTGATAATCAACCATTTCACTTCGACAATCAGAAGATTTAAATGGGGCTTTTGAGTTTGTCATGCCCTATTACTTCAGTGATAGGACGCTACATCTGTTTAGTCCACATAAACTCTTGGTTGCATCTCTGATCCCCTGGAGTAGCCTTTTTTTTTTTTTAAATCTTTTGTTGTGTGCCAGGCATTGTGTTAAGCATTCACACTCAGGTGCCTAACTAATCCCATAGCAGCCCAGAGAGGCGGTCATAGTGTTACCTCTGCTTTCCAGAGGAAGAGACTCAGGTACAAAAAGATTAGCAGGTTTTGCAAGGTCAGTCAGCTAGTGAGTGGTGGAATTCAAACCCAGATCTGTGTGATTCCAAAGCTTGTGGTCTGCAGTGGGACCCCCATATGGCTTTCAGAAGTAATGCTTGGCCCTTCTTACAGGATTCTGTGGGTCCTCACTGAACTACTTCTGGAGCCAGTCAATTTACTTGATTTGTTTTGTCTGGACTTTTGGTAAGGAAATATCTCATACCACCTCGGGCAATGTACAGGTCACATGGTGATGCTCTCAATCTTCTCGTTTCCTCCTATCACCCTGTTCCAGAGACTATTGCTAAGTCAGTCACTATTGTTATAATTTGCTCAGGCCAAGCTATAGGGATGGCTTCTTTTATGCTATAGAGTCTTTTTTTTCCCTTATGGAACTTCTCCTGCAAGTGAAATAGGAGTAAGTTTTCCCTAAACTTAAAAATTCAGAAAGCTGAAAATGGTCATTGAAATATTACGCTGTCTGTTGTGAGTTAGCAACGTCCACCCAAGACTACATTTTGATGCACCAAAAATGTGTGGGAACTTTCCATAGCATTGCTGTTACAAGATGTGAGGATGGTGACCATGTCTCTGGGACCATCTCTGCAAATTGAAAGATATTAGCTGACAAAAATTCAAGAATCCAAGAGGATCTTGATGGCAACAAAGGCTCTGTATGTTAAAATCCACTGTCTAGAATTTCTTCAGTGAAAGAAACAAACCTGGAGGATCAACTTCATTTCTCTTTGGTATCTTATTTCCTTAGCAACAATACTATTTCACCTGGTACAATTTGGTCCTAGAACTTTCTGATGAGGAAGAGAACTAACATTGCTGTTCTCTAGAGCTGAGAGGTAAAACCAAGCGTGGCAATTTGGACCATTTTTCCCTCCATCACAGGACTGGCGAAAAGCTAGTTTAATTTCATAAAATAAACCTACTGAAATTCAGCCACTTCTGAAATGAGAAAGGGTGCCATTTTTAATTGCTAAATGATGAATGTGCTCTGGAGAAGATGCAAAAGAATAAATACTGGCGTGAAGCTTTTGATATCTGAGTTAACAGCAAAGATATTTAAGAAAATACCAGGGATCAATAGTAACAATAAATTTGTTTTAAACATTTTTTGAGTTAGTCATTTTACAATGTTGTGTCAATTTCCAGTGCAGAGCACAATTTTTCAGTCACACATGAACATACACATATTCATTGTTGCATTCCTTTTCACCATGAGCTACCACAAGGTCTTGTATACATTTCCCTGTGCTACACAGTATAATCTTATTTACCTATTCTATCTATGCCTGTCAGTATCTACAAATTTTGAACTCCCAGTCTGTCCCATCCCACCCCTCACCCCCTTGGCAACCACAAGTTTGTATTCTATGTCTATGAGTCTATTTCTGTTTTGTATTTATGTTCTTTTTTTTTTAGT